TAAAATGATTTTTACAAAGTTAGTTTCAGAAGCCCATAGGACCTGCTCTACCCTGTTCTTAGGGTTGCTATATCTCTCTGAGCCCTCACTAACGTGATGGAGGTGAGTTTGGGTTTTTCGGGGGAGACTGACTCGATCGCCTTGGATTTCAGTTTTGGTTTTGGACTTCAAAACCAGACAAGACAGAACAGGGCTCGGAAACCCTCTCGTCCAGGCTCCTGATGTAGCAGAAATTGGCTAGCCAGCCCCAGCTTGTCGGGCCTGGCCCCTCCCCTCACACTGCTCTGGACAGGATCCATCCCACACCCCAGACACAAGCCAAGCTGAGTTTCAGGAAAGTCAAGCTCCTACCTAACTTGCAGGCGGGAACTACAATAGGGACAGGCAGACTCACTCTCCAACATGCCAGATAGGCAGCGTCCAAATGGCCGCTGGTCTCCTCCAAATGGCCACGGCCGAGCCCTCCCTGGGATTTCCTCTTTGGAACCACTCCCGAGGGACTGGATAAAGGTTGGCTTGGCTCACACTCACCCATCTACCGGTCCCCATTATGAGTCAGCCTCGGAGGCAAGCAGAAGCTCGCTGTCCTCCCAGACTGGCCCATACAGGGCTGTGCATGGCTTCAACAAAATGATCAGTCTTCCTGCCGAGAGTGGATTTGATGTCTGCAAATAGCCGGGCAACTGAAGGTCAGATGAGGCAAGGAGGACCTCAGACAGAGAGGACTTGTGCGCTTGGGGGTTCTGGAGCCTGCCTGGTGGTGAGTGGGATCAATCGATTTTCAGGCCCCGGCTGGCACAAGGCAATGGTTTGGGGCCTGATATAGTCACTATGGGGCACAAAGAAGCAGTCTCAAAAGGCGGTTGCAAAATCTAGTCTGTCACAATACGTGTGGAAGCGCTCCAAAAATGATACTGATTCGGGTGGGTCACCAGATTATCATACGCAGCTGGAACCCAGAGACACTGCAGTCTCGCTACTCACCACATCTGAGAAAATGGAAGTGGACAAACTGCAAATTGACAAATTGGCCAGGCAGCAAGACATGACTAGATTTTAGAGGTTCAGCCCTCCCATCTCCTCAACAAGGCACTCACCATTTGACATTTCAATTTAGGATTATATCTTATGTCCTATGAGTGAATTGAAGATTATAATTCAATACAGGAGGAGAACTTGTGGCCTGTGAGTGAATGAAGCCCCCCAGGGAGTGAGGCGTGTCCACACAGAAAAAAGAAACTGTGCTTTCAAAAGTCCAGTTATGAAACACCTTTATGGGTTCCCTTGTTTTACTTTGCTAACAAGGTCTTGAATTTCTGACAGCTATAAGATCTTGCTTTCCTTTACTTGGAATCTAAAACCTGTGTCGGAGTTGATTCCACCTCATAGAAGCCCCTTATGTTACAGAACAGAGCTTCACAGAATTCTTCATGGAAGCCAGCCTTTCTTCCACAGCACCCCAGCCTTTCTTCCACAGCACCCTTGGGTGGGTTTGAACCAACAACCTTCAGTCGAGTGGAAAAATACTGAGACAAAGCTTCCTAAAGGCAACTGCTTTAGAAGTTTCCAGAGCCAAGCCTAGATGACTCAGTACCAGGGGATGACTCACTCTGGGCTCGCCCTGCTCCCCTGTGAATCAGCGATAGCTCTACCTGTCTGGGGGACTTCTCCCCGATTCCCTGATGTCAGGCCTCTGGGTCTGAGGGGTTCAATAGGAGATAGTCCAGTAGCAGCTGTCCCTGGGAGCGAAGGTGCAGGCCCTGAGGCCCAGGGGCAGGATCTGGAATGAGGAGAGAAGGTGAGGGAGTATGTTAGCAGCTGCCTAGTCCTCCACCTCACTGGCCCTGGATGTGTGTGTGGTGGGCCCCAGACCTCCCCGAGTGTGCTCACTCGTGACAGCACAGTTAGGGGGGTGAATACATTCCTATTGGAGACTCCAGACCAGCCCTGTCCACTAAGGATAGCGTGCAAGGCTCAAATGCCAGTCACAAATGTGAGCCGTGGCTGCGATGTTCAATTCTAGTTGGCACATTAAAAAAGCAAAAGAAAAGGGCGAATCGGTTTCAATAATAGATTCTAGGCCGATCTGAGGAGCCCTGGTAGGCAGAGTGGTTATGTGTTGGACTTTGATCCCCAAGATCAGCCGTTCAAAACCACCAGAGGCTCCTCAGGAGAAAGATGGGGCTTTCTACTCTTGTCAATAGTTACAGTCTTAGAAACTCACAGGTGCAGTTCTACCCTGTCCTGTAGGGTCACAAGGAGTCGGCATCCACTTGATGGCTCTGAGTGAGGCCCACCCAAAATATTTTATCATTTCAAAGTGTAATCAGCATAGAAAGTTATAAGATGTTTTACATTCTTTTTTGACAATTCGTTTTATTAGGGGCTCATACAACTCTTATCACAATCCATACATACATCAATGGTGTAAAGCACATCTGTACATTCATTGCCCTCATCATTCTCAAAACATTTGCTCTCCACTTAAGCCCCTGGTATCAGCTCCTCATTTTTACCCCTTTCTCCCTGCTCCCCGCTCCCTCATGAACCCTTGATAATTTATAAATTATTATTTTGTCATATCTTGCCCTGTCCAGCGTCTCCCTTCACCCACTTTTCTGTTATCTATCCCCCCAGGGAGGAGATCACATGTAGATCCTTGTAATCGGTTCCCCCTTTCCAACCCACCGTCCCTCTACCCTCCCAGTATCTCCACTCACACCACTGGTCCTGAAGGGATCATCCGCCCTGGAATCCCTGTGTTTCCAGTTCCTATCTGTACTAGTGTACATCCTCTGGTCTAGCCAATCAATTTTGGAACATTTTCTTTCCCCCTATAGTCACTGTTACATGTGTATTTTTTTAAATTTTGGCAAAAAGATACACAAAACATTCACCAATTCAACAACTTCTACATGTATAATTCAGTGCTATTGATTATACTTTTTGTGTTGTGCAACTATTCTTAATATCCCTCTCCAAACGGTTCCACCACCATTAAAATGAACCCAGTGGCCCTTAAGCAAGTACTCTTCCTTCTTCACCCGTGGTAACCACAGGTCAAGTTGGGTTTCTTGATATAACATTCACATATCATACACTTCCATATTTAAACCTCTTCTAAAAAGAGTTATATATATATGTATGTATATATCTCATCACAATCAGCTCTAATGCTCCCTCCCCCATCCCGCACCCACTGATTGCTCCCCTCCCCTCCAATAAACCATTGCATTAGTTATTGTCTATGCATCCAATCCTTCTGTGCTTCCTCACCTGGGAGATCTAACATAATAAACCACGAAAACAAAATGAACCCGAAAGAAGAAAATAATAATACAAAGATTAAAAATAAAGAGTAAGGAAGAAAAACCACCAACAATATTTTAAAAGCCAGAGAAGGAATTTCTTTCTTGGAATCATCGAGAAATATTTTAGCACAGAGCTAATTCAGGTTGGCCACGCACATTTCAAGGGTTTAATATCCACAGGTGCCCAGTGGGACCACATTGGAGAGAGCAGGTGGGTACAAAGGTGGGTCCCCTGCCCATAGCGTCCAGCAAAGGGGGATAGGGGACTTTTATTGACAAGGGCGGGAAAGACCTCTAGAGGGGCCGGGACCAGGTTGTTGGTTAGCGGGTCCCAGGAGGGTTTTTCCCGTTTCCCGTTTCTCCTTTGCTTCCACTCCATTCATGTCAAATGGGGTCCCTTCCAATGGGGAGAGGTTTAGCTACCTCAGCCTGCTCCCCGAGCCCACTATCCTCTTCTAGTCGCTGCTCCCTGGCACCCCGGGGCCGGTATTCAAGGGGCCGCACATCTCGCCTGGTGAAGACTGCCTTCCCCGTCACTCAACTTCTTGCTCCCGCTCCCTGCCTTGCAGTAACCGCCGCTTCCCTTGTTTCCACAGCGATGCCACCAAGAGGCGGGGTCAAGGGGGCGCTCGGCGCGGAGGTCGTTGTTTTGATTGGTGGGTGGCCAAGCCCCTGTTTCCGCCCATGATTGTTAGTGCTCCGCCCTCTCGGTGGGTCCCACACGATGATTGGCCAGCCCCTTGGCACCAGCGGTTGGTCCTAGGTTGGTCTGGCTTCCGGGGCGGGGACGTAGGTGGGCGACCCGCTTGCTGATTGGCCGGTGGGGAGCGCGCGGCAGGGAGGGGCGGGGCGGACCGGAGCCGTAGTTAGTGTCGCCCCGCGGTCGCGGGCGCAAGAGGGCTTGTGTGGCGCATCGGTAAGAGGCCGCAGTAGCAGCCACTGTGTGAGGGAGCCATGAAACACTATGAGGTAAGTAAACTAGGCCACGGGGGCTGCGCCACTACCGAAGACTATTCTCTCTTCGCACAACCACGGGGTCCCCTCTGGTTGTCCGGGTAGTGGCGGACGGCGCAGGCGCAACGGGCGCGCTCGGCTCCGAGGGCCACCCGTAAATCCCAGTGCGCGTGTGCGGGAGAGGTATTTATAATTCTGCAACCCAGGCTGTTTTGGGGGTTTGGGTTTATTGGGTCTCTGTAGGGCCTGGGGGGCAGAAGCTCGGAGCTCGCGTAAACAGTCTCGTAAGCTCACAATCGGGTCGCTCGGAGTCAGTATTGACTCGGTAGCAGTGAGTGTGGTTTTGGTAGGGCCTGGGGAGCGTGTAGATTCCTTGCAGTTCCCGCGGGCTTTGGCGGAGGAGGTGGACCTTTGCTCTTGATTCGAGGGAGTCTTGCCACAAACCCTGCACCAGGCCATCTCCCCGAGTCGGGTCGTGACTTCACTAGGACTTTGCAATCGGCTGTCCTTACGCGATCTTTGGAGCCCTTCCTGGGGCTACCAAGGCGGCGAGGGAGGTGAGGTACAGCAAAGTCGATCTCCGCGTGCTGGATAATCTAAGCGATCATCTTAGCCAAGCCCTGCGAGCCACCGAGAAATCTCACGCCCACAGACACTCCTGAAGCGCGTGTCTTTGGACTGCAGACTTGGATCCCTCCTCCTCCCTTTTAAAATGGAACTTCTTCAATATGCCCTTAAGGACCTCGATAATATAATGTCAACAACCTAGGGATCCTTTGACTATTAGAGACTTTCAAGGGAATTTATTATTAGTCAGAATACTTCATAATAATAATCGATCAAGGGCTTCTCGTGCTCGTGGAGGTTCTGTTACCTCTCTTGCACTTTCATCTCATCGGTATCATCATCATGGTGATGCCCATTTTTTACAGGTAGTTCAAGAAGAAGTAGCCCTAGACGGATGACTAGTCACTTGCCCATAGGCCCCTTAGAACAAAGGACTTCCCCAATGGAGAGTGCAAGCTGGAGAGAGAGGAGGCTTTCCATTCCTGTAAAGAATTAGTCTCAAAACCCCACAGGGCTCGTTCTGCTCCGGCTTATAGGGTCGCTGTGAGTCAGGATCGACTCCCGGGCAGGGAGTTTGAGCTGAGAGTCCCAACTTCCTGGCCACTGCACCTTGCCTGCCCTCAAAAGAAATTTGGGGTGGGTGGAGCGGTTTCTTGGTTTTATTCACAAGTTGAATACTGCTTCTTTCATGCCCCCCTTTATCACTACTATGGATGTTCACTAATTATCCAGAATCCTTTAACCTTCCAATCTTGATTTTTGAGATGCCGTCAGGAATGAAGGAGCCCTGGTGGCATAGTGGTTATGCACTGGGCTGCGAACCCCCAGGTCAGCAGTTTAAAACCACCAGCTGCTCTGAGGGAGAAAGATGAGGCTTTCCACTCCCCTAAAGAGTTAGCCTCAGAAATCCATGGCGCAGTTCTACCCTGTCCTGGATGGTCTTGATGATTTGGAATCAACTTGGTGGCATTTATCGAGAATGAGGGGGTAAGATGAAATAAAACAACCTCCCTTGTCTGACTCAACTGTATGATTTTAAAGTTTTTGGGTTGTAGTCAAACCCTCTGTGTCGCAATCTGCAAAAGAACAGCCAAGCTGAGTTTGAAAGCTGCAGGATAGAATGTTGCAAAATGATGTTAGCTTAGCTCTGGTAATCAGACAAATTCAGGAGGTCCCCGAAGACACTTTGGGGGAAGGGTGTGTGTATGGATGACACAGTTCTCAGATGTTGGGGACAACCCCGGTGCCAGTGACGTGAATTGAGGAACATGCTCTGTCTTATTCAAACTCCTTCCCACCTGCCAGAGAAGGGGGCTTTCAAATCCTCTGTTCAGAGTGCTCTTAGAGGGAAAAAAACAGAACTGGTCATTTTTGCTGGGTTTTTCATTGTTCTCATTTTCTACTAGCAATGGGGGTGGGGTGGGGGTGGAAGACCCTTCCCCACTAAGGTGATATACACAGAGTTTTTGTAGGAGAGCTCTGGTCCCACAGCTAACTGCAAGTGGAACAGTGTTGACTGCAAAGAGGTCACTGCAGATGAAGAAAGCGGCCACGGCGCTCGTGAGCTCCTGTAATTTACCTTTCAGCAAAGATGTGTCTATGAGTCCCATCAACAGACACATTACTTTTGGGGACTACATCAGTTTCCACCTCCTACCAGGCCCCTAGCCCACCCCACTGAGAGGCAAAGCCAGCTGGGCTGACTCCTGCCCAGGGCCCCCTCATGTGGGTCAGAGTTGAATTGTAACCCCTAGGCCTTTCAGTGGCTGATCCCTCAGAAGACTTCTTTTGACCTTGGGGAGAGACATTGGCCATTCGAAAGCCCAGTTTGCAAGTGATGCTCAGGCAGGGGCGGGCTTGGCAGGGGCAGGTTTGACACGACCAATGAGTGTCAGGCTGCGGGCTGATGCCCTCTAGCAGGTGGACAGATTTGCCGCTGCCTCAATAA